GGTCTCCCTTCTCCAACTAATCCTCCACACAATCACTAAAATAATCTTCCTAGGGCACAGGTCTATAAACTCCAGTGACTCCCTTTTGCTTCTAGAATCAAATACAAACTTTTTTTGGTCTATCAAGGCCTTCATAACTGGACTCCAACCTTCCTTTCCAGCCTTGTGTTACTTCCCTTCCTGCTCTCCAGTACACTTAAACCAGCCTTCTTGCTGCTCCTCACAAACCAGAAATCTTTTGCCTATATGCTGAAGTATGAGATGTGCCATATATTAATTGGAATACATTTCATCCTTATTTCTGCTTCTAAGAGTCCCTAGTTTCCTTCAAAACTCCACAAGCTCTCAGTAGATATAAACATCCCCCCAAATGGAATGACTTCAGCCATGAATGTTAGTAGGTGAGTACAGGGCTGTCTACCAAATATGTATTAAGTGTTAGGAAAGCCAAGTAAAAGGTAAATGTATTGCATCTGGAAAAGATGATCAGCACAGAGGTATAAACCATGCTTTGAAAATGGACATATATGGACATTTGGACGGTGTTTGTTTCCATAAGTAATTTGTCATGAATAACTAAATCTATTAGCTCCTCTTTTAAGTTATTCTTTGAGTTTAAAGAAAATCACAGTCCAATTAAATTTCTTCTTATTTGTCTAACCTTATTAAGGACTGGCATTTGGAATAGTTTAACTTACTTGTAAACTTACATTTCAATCATAATCACTCCCCCAAAATATTTTTTATCTCTTAAAAAAATCCTTAAGAAATGAGCATTATGTAGAATATTTTCCACGGTTTTGCAGCTTCATTTTGTTAACAGCCATTAATGGAATTCTGTAGAGAGATGCACATTAAAAGTCATTAGTCTGTGCAAAGCATGTACTAGATGTTTAGCGCTTTTTAAAGAAATTGCACTTTTTATCTTTAAATGGGATTGCCTCCCCCATTTCCTACTCCTCCCTCACCCCAAACCCTTAGCCCATATTCAGGGGGAGGGGGAGGTGGCTCTTAGGAGAGCTTTGCCATATATAAATATATATGTATGTATAAATATACTTTTTTAAGCATGGGAGAGAGGACAAAAGGAACTGCAATACACAAAGGACTATGCACAATTCAATAAGGATGTAGTTAAATTTAATATTTTTTTGTCTTGGCTTTTGCATAACTGTATGCTCTTATTTCATAATATGCCTTGCTCCCTGGTTGTGTGAAATTATAGAAAGATATATTCAGTACTACTGAAAATATTTTCATCATACTGCTGGATTAAGTTATTTTACTCAGTCACTCTCTTGCCAATTATTGTTAGTAAACTATTGTAATAGCTTAGGATGGTGGTCATGAGGTCAGTGTAAATTTTTTTCATTTACATGTTTCCCTTATGTAAGTTTACTAAAACCACAAGCTCCACCCTCAGCAGGCCTTTTATTCTTTCATCTCCTAGTGTTCTGCCCCTTCCCTCCCCCAAATTATCTTTATTTACATATAGGTAGTCTCTCCTGTCCCCTTTCCCTCTCCTGTCCCCTTCCCTTCCCTACTCCCCCCAAAATAAGCTCCTTGAGGTCAGAAACTGTAGCATTTTCTACATATAGCATTGTGACTAAAGGGCTTAATAAATGTTCATTATTTTTTAATCTAGGACATCGTTTTTCAGACCTAGTGACTTAAACCTATTGAGGAAAACTAGATGCTGACCATCTCTTCATTAATCTTGAATTTCTAGCCATCTTTATTTCATAATCCAAAGATCATTGTCCTTGGAAGTGGGGAGAAAAAAAAGCAAAATAAAGCTGGGTGTAGCTCAGCTTTCATATTGTCATCTATCATTCTACTTACCTAAAGGGGCAGTTTTAGTTCTTTGATCTTCCTCTTTTCCCAAATAAGTTAAAATAGGACCTCTTCCATTTCTTTTGGTTCTTAGCATTCATCAGCAACCTCAGCTCATCCTAGATTTAACTGACCCTGCCACACTTCCTACAGGATCATTCTATTCTTTTGTATTTATCCTTCTTTATGTGTCCCAGCTTCTATCCTTCAATACATCTTTTAAAACATTTTTGTTGATATCTTTTGTTTTTACATTACTTATTTCCAAAATGATACATCTCCTTCCTCTACCCAGTGAGTCATCCTTTACAACAAAGAATAAAAGAAAAATAAATGCAGTTTAAGAACATTAACCGTTATAATAACAAAGTCTGATAGTATATGCAGTATTCTACATGCACATAGCACCACTTCCACAAAGAAATGAGAGAAGTATTTTCTCATCTCTTCTTTGGAGCCAAACTTGATCATTATAATTACCTGGAATTGTTTTCTATATTTTCCACGAACTTTGCTATAGTCATTCTGCATATTATTTTTGTTGTTTACTTCATTCTGCATTAGTTTATGTTTTCCTATTGTCCTCCAAATTCATAATATTTACTGTTGCTTATAATTATAACTGGGTATTCAGACTCTCCCTGGGGGTAGAAAAAGGTTCTGAAACAAAACTTTGAATACTGAGAATCGTAGTGCTGGACAATGTTATTTCTTCCTTCCCTGGGAGAGGCTATCATGAACTCAGTGAGAAGTGCAAAAGGTATTTGTGTAGGGGCAGGGAGGTTGACTTCTACCAAGCTTGACTAGGGGCAAGGTCAAAGTTCAGGTATGGTGTGGAAAACCAGTCCAATAGTGGCTAGCAAACTGGTAAGTCGGGAAGACAGACGTCCCAGCAGGGGCTAGGAAGGGAGATGTGGTTAGTCTCCCCTGTTCTCTTCTCCACCTCTGCCAACTCCTGGGAAAGGTACGTGGCCAGAACAAATGGAAGCTTGGCTGTCGTCACATCATGGGACTGGCTTTAAAAGGGCAGTACAGTCTAAACTCTCCCCGTACCGGTAGCTAACAGACATTTTCAACACCAATCTCTCCATTTGTTTAAGCCATTTTAAATTCCTGAGTCCTGTCTCCTATGACTCTTCTTTATGCTAATTTTATTTCCTGAATCACGTGAGTTAATTACATGCTAGATACAGTGCAATGAAAGATCCCTGTGATTAGCTTCACATGAACAGAAATAAGGCCTGACATGTAAACCTCTAATCCAAAAATTCTAGGGTTTCCTTTTCATACCTGAAAGCTGAGCCAATACAGGAATTTTATGGTTTTGATTTTGTTAATATATGCATAAGTTAACAGAGATGAGTCATATAACTCAAGACCATGTACTCCCTAAGCTAACAGAGTCACTGATGAGCCAGACTCAAGTGACTTGGTGTGCAGGTGTCTCGATCAAGGTCTGGAGCACAGTAGAGAAATGGAGCAAAGGAAGGTCTTACCTCCTGCCTGCCCATTAGGAGAAAGGTGTAGTTGGCCCTGTCCGTATTCCTTTTTTGTTTTTTTGGCTAGGCAATGGGATTAAGCAACTTGCCCAGGGTCACACAGCTAGTAAGTGTTAAGTGTTTGGTCTGAGGCCAGATTTGAACTCAGATCCTCCTGACTTCAGGGCCAGTGCTCTATCCATTGCATCACCTAGCTGCCCTCACCTGCTCATATTCCTTAAGGCAACAGTATCAAACTCAAATAGAAATGGATTCCTTCAAGGCACATATTGACTTGGAAAACCATAATTTAACATTATCTTCATTGTTGTATTTTTACTAATTTTGTTAAAGACTTCCCAATTACATTTTAATCTGGTTCAGGTCACAACACTCAGGAGTTTTGTGGGCTGGCGTTTTTCACTTAAGGTGTGTTGGGGTGCATGTGTAGAGGGACACAGAAAGACTTTTCATTTTGCTTTATTTTTACAACCATGAACCACAATTTGTTTAATCATTCCCAAAAATGATGGGCACCTACTTTTGTTTCCAGGTTTTTGCTACCACAGAAAAGTGCTACGAATATATATACAGAACCTTGAAAAAGATTGCTCGTTCCCTACTAATACTCTCATTAAGGATAAGCTTGATCTATGTATAAAGATTTTGTGTACATGAGAGAGTAGGCAGATTGATCAGTAGACGATGTAACTTTAGTTGCATTTTTCTGATATTAGCAAGGTCTGAGATGTTTTTTGCACTTTCTGTATCTCCCATTTCTTTAAATACTTATATATCAATCTTTTATAACCCTCACAATTATCTTACCTCTAGTATGGATCACACGCACTTGGCCCAATCTGGCTGCTCTTCCCATGTTTGGAAAGTTTTCTTTCCCCCATTTCTATCTTCTTAGCACAGGACTGTGATGGGTGGATCAAAGCATGGTGCTTCAACTGTTCTTGGGGTGAAAAGTTTGTCATAAAAAGCTTCACATTTTTCGTTGCTCTTTTGCTTTTCATACTTAAAATGCCCTTGGGATTTTATTTATATCTGGATCTCCTCCCAAACTTTCATCTTCCAATGATTCTCTCTGCTTTATGAGATGATACTGCTTATACTTATCCATCACCCCTCTCCACGAGATTTTATAAACTTCTATTTAAAACCTTTGCCTGTCATCTCTCTGCACTTGAGAACAGAGTCAAATGTTTGCTTCCAAAGGCACTTTTCTCAGCATTTTTGGTCTTGTGGAAATAGATTTACATTGGTTACAATATTTACTAAAAATACATATCTGTGATTTATTTTGCATTTCCTGCTTTTCATTAGTTGTTTAGTTTAAGAATGAGTTGTTTTGATTCTACAGCAAATCTTTTTTCTATTATTCTGGCTTTTTAAAATTCTCATCTTCGCTCCGAGTGTACACATATAGTTGGGTCAACAATAGCATCCAAATCACTACCAAGTGTTTTATCTGCTAAACCCTAACCTGTTTCATCTTTTGAGATGTTAGTTCCTTTCACTGCTCCTCCACCTTTTGAAGAATGAAATTTGATAATTACTTATTTCAATTTCCCTTGTACTAAGTATATTTAGTTGCTGTATTCTCCCTCATAGAACGGCAGCACCTGGAGGCTAAGGGATTATTTTTGTCTTCATATTCCCAGTGCCAAACTAGCACAATGCTTTGCACAAAGTAGGTGCTTATTATTGAATTATCAAGGCAGATCATAAAAGTCCTCTGTTTTTTGACATACGGAGAGCTCTAACAGATGTTAAAATAGTTGGTTATGCTAATTGAACAGGTGGACAATTAGACAAGGGCTTAGAAATTTGGATGTTTGGAGTTAACATTCAATCTGACCATGTTTGCTTTTAGTCGGTAGGGTTACAAAATTTACTTCCATTGTCCTGTATCTTAAAAAAAAGCCTTGCTCTGTGTCCTAATTCAATCCAATGAAATTTGTACTCCTAGACAGCCCTAGATAAGAACTCTTACTTCCATTACATGTAATCTTGGCAGGATCCAACCCTGGGGTAGTGAAAGGGCACCCTTTATTAATATTAAGAAGATGAGGGATAAAACAGGGGCGATGAATCCCACTAACTTTCAGAGCTCTGCTGAAGCTTTAAAAAAAGTGACAAAAGCACAGAGAAATGCTATGAACCCTTTGGCCAGTCTGGTCACTCTGGCTGACGATAAACCCAAATTCTTGTTCTTTGCAAATCCTGCCCAGGTTGAAACGTCCCGTCAGTCATTAAAAAACAGAGTCTGAGATATAATAGTTAAGTAGTGACTTAGTATCCCTTCTATTCAAATGGAAGTAATCACTAGATTTTGAAGAATTACGAAGATGACTTAAGATGATGAACCTTTGAGCTGCTAAATCAGACCTACGTGATCATAATCTATAAGTAATACTTAGCCTTTGCTTCCTATTCTGGGTCCATACAGAGTATTTGCCTAGGCCAAGGGTTCTTGATCTCCCTGATAAAGTCTGGGGAGGTGGGAGTTGGGGAAGGTTACTATTGCTCCATTACTTCCTGGAGTCAGTGTGTATCTCATAAAGCTCCTGATTTCAATTTTGGCTTGAGGAAGTAGGTAAATATATCAGGCTGAATCATTTCCAACCTCTTCACCCCATTCTTTGCTGTCGATCCTCTGATCTCATACTTGGATGACAGGGCTGATGGCACAGAAGGGCTATGGTACTACTGATGGGTTGCCTCAGCTAAGATTCCCCAACTCATCAAAAATGTAAAGGCCAAAAGGTGGTGGAGTTTCCACTTTAAGAACTCACCTTTCTAAGAGGACTGCTGCTTATGGGTGATAAGCATAAGTATACAGAGAATGTGTGCTGTGGAGCATTTCCCTGTGTTCTTTCCCAGAGGACATTCTGAGCCCTCTGACTAAGGGGCAGGGGAAAGGGCAATAAAAATTCTCCACCAGGGTGTGCTGGCACACCCAGCCCACACTCTATGCACTTCTATGGTGAAAGGAGTATCATATGCTCAGGACCAGACTCAATCTAATTTCCTAAGTCATGACAGAAGTACTTTGATCAAAGGTAGTTAATTATAATTCTTAAAAAATTGTCTAAAGATGGCATAAGCTGCTGCTGCATGTCAGCTGGGTCAGGTAAAGCCTTAACCAGTGTCGGTATCAATGCCTGTGAGGACATTCTTAATCTTGATATGGTGGGAGGGGTACCTACACAAGGGGTACTTGGCACACAGGGCGCTGGACAAGGACAGTAGCTTTCGTCTGCATTCAGCAGCATTCCTCACTATTGAGTTCATCTTGTGTGCTGCCCTAAATGGCTACAAGTTAAATGTGCCAAATAAACTAAAGGGCCTCGAGAAGTTCTAGTTTGGGGCTCAGCCCTGTGATTCTATTATGCTTCTGTCAGGTGGCTGGGATACAAATTTAATCTGAAGTAATGTAATCACAGAAGGCCTATACCCCTCAAAATCAACAGACTATTATTAGGCTTTAATGAGTAAACAAAACGAATTCAGAAATGTGATATCTGTATCAGGTGGGAATGCTTCTGAATGAATCCAAGAATCATCAACAGGAATAGGTTTTAAGAAACTGTCCTACAAATGGATGAATAAATCCTGAATTAATCTTAAAATATTATAAGGGCTTTGGCCACTGGATGAAGGCAAATGGTACCAGACAGAAAACATCTTGGAACTGGTTGGAAAGAATCAAACACACCCCTGAGCCTATGTATGAAAACAGAAACAGTCCAACACTGGAAAACTCCAAGTTCAGGAGCTGAGGACTCCAGTAACCAATGAGGTTGATCTTCCATGGATTCACAGAACTCCAGGTGTGGTGAGAGGCTGGTCTTCCCCACCCCAACTCTCACATTCTTCTTTCCAGGAAACTTAATGACAAAGAGTTCCATACTGACAAGAAGCTTTGCTTTGGTTTTCAAAAGACAATGAAAAGCTGAGCTTCATGTCTAGGTAGCTCCAGTTCTTCAAAGGTATGTTCCATAGAGAATATCAGCTCTGGTGAGGCTGTCAGGAATGTCAGAGGCCCAACACGCTGCTCTGCACAAGCATGGCAGAAGAATCCACCTTTGTCCTCCTTTTTGCTACTCTGAAGTGAGGGATAAAGAAAAGAAGGCAAAGAGAAAAACTGACGAGCAAGAGTGTATTAAGAGACACGTTCACTAAGGGAAGTATAGTGGCACTACCACAACCAAAAGCCAATTAAGTTTTGGTTTGCTAAAGTAACTGAAGCTTTGCAATGAAATTTAATATATAAAATATTTATCAAAAAGACATTCTCTTCTATTGTATCTGCAAGGATGAGCAAGTGAAATTCAGCCATTTGGAGGATGTAAGGAAACAGCTACTTCATGACCATTCTCCAAACAAAAAGCTGCCACTTCCAATGAGGTCTATGGAAACCAACCATGGATATATTATCTAGGGTTGAATTATAGTTTGGGGCCTAAGTAGCACCATGGATTGTGGGCTGGATTTAGCAGTCAGGAAGACCTAAGTTCAAATCCAGCTTCAGATACTATGTGACCCTAGGCAATTCACTGAACCTCTCTCTCTGTCTCAGTTCCCTCATCTATAAAAGGGAAATAATAATAGGACTCTATCTCCCAGGGTTACTGTGGGAATAAAATGAGATAATAATAACTAGCATTTATATAATGCTTTAAGATTTGCAAAGAGATAATGAAAGTTATTTCATTTGATCCTTACAACAACCCTGTGAAGTAGGTGTTATTATTATTCCCATTTTACAGATAAGGAAATTGAGGCTGAGTTAGGTTAAGAGACATGCCTAGGGTCATACAGCCAGTGCCTGAATCCCTAATCCAGCCCTTTCTCCATTCACTATGCCACTTAGCTGCCCTTTTGCAAACCTTAAAGAACTATATAAATGTTAACTATTATTATTGTTTCAACTCTTTATCACCAGCACTTCCCTGAGTTTAAAGGTGACCTGCTGAACAGGCAGACCCTCAGTAAACACTACTCAATATAAGGTCTCAAAAATCAAATTAAATCAAAGGATGACGAGCCAAGGAAGATTAAGACGCTCTTATTAAATATTTCCCAATTTAACAATAATGTCAGAGCTACACACATGATCAAAGGCTGGTCCATGGTACCATTAGCTTTGATTCAATGAAACTTTCCAAACTACTTCAACCCATAGCGGTCCTTGGCATACTCTAAATGTCTATATCACTCAAAATCTAGCATTTATTTATACTGTTTTATATTTTTTCTTTATATATTCCTTGTATATTTGAGTTCTCTCTCAATATTATAGGCTCAGTAGGCATTCAATAATATTATTTGCTTGTTTGTTAAAATTCTTTTTCTTGTACATCCCCTACCCTATCCCACCCCACCCACCTTGAGCATAGTAGTAGGCATGTAGCTGAACACAGTATATTAAGTATTTGTTGAATCAAAATGGGTCCAATGTCAAAAGTGACCTACGTACAAAAGTGATGGGAAATTTCTTCATGGTGAGGATAGTCTCTGCCTTAATAATGTTATTGCACTGCCTTACACAGCAAAGTACCTCTCCACTTTTTAAGACATCTCTGGTTAGCTCTGGTTGAAAGTAGTACTCCTGGAAAAGACAGAGATTAAGAGTAGTAAGTATGCCTCCACCCCTGACACCATCTTAAAAGAACTTCAAGCATTTTACAGATAATACCTTGTCAGTCCTTACAACATCCCTGATGGAGTAGAGTTCGGTGCCCCTCACCCCACATCTAAATTATTAAGAGGACTGATCTGATTGTCTCATCTATGGATTACCTAAGCCTTTGGCTTCTCTGCCTCTTTTCCCCTACTCTCTACTCTTATGGCAACATAGTTTCTTGGAATATCCACAGGATTGGGGATAGGAGATAGGAAATAAGGACTGGATCAGTGATTTCACTCAAACAGGGAACTCCTGAAAATGGAAAATCCTTTTTACCATGTATGTCAGCACTTTCTCTTCAGCTCCCACGCACCAGCACTATCTTGCTTGTATTTGTATCCCCAGAATGTAGCACAGGTTCCTGGCACAAAATGAAAGCTCTCTCACTCTTTCCCTCACTCTATCTCTCTATCTCATTCTTCCTGACTATCTTGGCTGTAGTCATGCACCATATTTACTTTTTTTTACCCCCTCTTGATCTCCAGCTATTTTCAACATAAAAGATGGAAAGGAAATTAAATTATATAAGCATGTGGATACTGCTACTCTTTGCAACTTGTATATTAATCTTTAAGATTTTTAGTCCTATACACTAAAGGAAAGCAATTCCTTGTAACAATACAACAATCAGTGGCAAAATTAACTGGATCCTAGAGCTCTTGACACTTCTGCCTTCCTTCAGCAGCTACTCAGAAGTGCTATGCAAAGTCAAAGACTGCTTTAACCAAGGCATCTAGAAAAACAGCACATGTACTTGTGAGAGAGAAAGATGATTTGTAGGGAATGAAAAGCAGAGATTACACTTGGGATTTCCTTTCCAATTTCAGATTTGTAGCCTGTTTGTTCGGTTCAAGGAAAAGAGAACTGGACGGTTTTTACAACTCTAGCTGTCCTACATTTAATCTCTCTACAGAATCTGGGGTATACTGGGAAAACCAAAAGCTCAATAATCTAACTCAGGAAAAGCAGGAAGGAGAAATGGTGAAGTACAAAGTGTGTGTCAGGGCACTGTAGGGAAGAGGCAGCTGCCGAGTGTTGGAAAATGAGCACTGACTAGTTGACTCTACATACTCTGGCCAGTGACAAGTTAACCAGCTGCACTTTTAATTTAGCCCTGGACAAAATATATTCATTTCACTTACAGATGACTTTCCTGGCAATGGCAGTTGCTGCTTCAAAGACAAGGTAGAAGTGGGAAGAGAAAGCATATGTAAAGGAAATTTATGCAGAAATTAGCTTTATTTGATTTTCTTTTTCAAAGGAATAGAATATGCAAAGGAAGAAATATGAGCAATTGTAGCAAAACTGTGAAAATAAGCTGACATAGGCAAAAAATAGAAAAAGTATGGAACATTTCTGTTGTATGCAGAGCCTCAGAGCCACTGGCAAGCTTGGAACTCCATTTTTCTGTCATTTTCCATTAGATCTTAGTCAAGACACCACATTCTTATACTGCAGACTAGAGTTTACTGATCTAGTAAAACACTTTAATCTCCCCAAGTTCTGTATCCTAATTCAGTTTTTACAATTCCCAGGCCTTTGACAACATTACTATGTATCCCGTGTTTTATCTGATGGAAAGTACAACTCTGTCAGATTATTTATCATTTCTCTTACCCCAGCCAGAGTTAAAATGTTTTCCAGTGACTTGGTCATGATGAGGCATTTCTTGGCACGAGTCACTGCAACATACAGCAAATTCCATTCCTCATCAGGGAATGACTCTAGAGAAGGTGGGTGGAGCAAGGAAGGAGGAGAATGTTACTTCAAAGAAAAGATTAAACAACAAAAATCTACAGTCACATTTAAATATTCTCTAGCTCTTCTATTATTTCTTATATAACAAGTGATGTTTTTATAGTGCTTAAAGTCTTAGAAAGCCTTTCTTCAAAATATTCTTCTGTGGTACATGGTACAAGCAACTATGCTGATCAGGACAAAGAAGGGACAAAGGTTATGCTAGTAGAGCATAACTTCTTTAGAAGGGCTTTGAAGAGAGGCCTGGTAAGACTTTGTCTGTTGTCAATGAACCAGTCTAGCCAAATGCGGATAAGCTTATCACAAGAAGACTGGCTCCCAGAGGCCAAGTAGCAGAGTAGAAAGAACAGCAGGAATCTCATTTGAGTCCACACTCTGCCATTTTCTACCTGTGTGGTCTGGACTAGATCATATAATCTCTCTAGGTTTCAATCCTTTCACTTTGATCAAGGAGGAAATTGGACTAGATGACCTCTAAGGTTCTTTTTGCTCTAAATCTATGACCCTTGGAAATTTTTTTTTGGCCACAACAGCTTATAAAATTGTCTTATAAGACACAATTGCAATTTGTTTGTGAAGGGAGTACCCACACTAATGAAATAGAAATATTTTGAAGTTATCACACAGAAGAGAGAATCCCAGGCTCTGCCTAGTAGATACATTCAGAGTTTTCCCACAAATAAGAATTCCCAAATCAGTCAGTATTACAGTCTTTTTAAGCCTGCTGCCTGATATATTAGGAATGGATGAACTTAGTGAGGAAGTACAATTCATCCTATCACTAAAATGTATTTACTTAACTACTCATGGTAACCAAAAAAAAAAATCAAGAAATCTTTACTGACCATGTCTTACATATCTCTTATATTCCCCAGAACAATTAGCATGGTACTGCATACGTGGCAGGAGGTCAATTCAATAATTTATTTATTGCTATCCAACACCATTATGAAGTAACATATCACGGTGTTGAAGAAACAATGCCTTTTAACATAATGCTGATATGACATATAACCAGAAGCATAAACTTAGTCACAGAATGTAACTTTCAAACTATCACATATAGGCATCAATCCTTTACATCAACTAACCTGTTTATAAGCAACATAAAACTGCCATCACCAAAAATAATCCTTTCTATCATAAAACACTCAAACTAATGCCCAAAACCAAGGTCTAAGGCAGGGAGGAAATGGACTCAAGGTATAAAATAAGAAAAACATTGTTACACATGGACAATGAGGAAGTTTGTTTTTCTTGATTATGCTTTGTATTATGAGGGTTTTGTTTTTCTTTTTTTCTTTACAACTGGGGGGCTGAGGAGTGAAGATAAATGCGTTATTTGAAAAAATAAAAATAAATTGTATCCAACAAAAAGTATAACAGTTACGTGAAAACACTGCCTTCCTGGTACATCAATTTTTACAGTTAACATGGGGAAAACTTCCAATATTCTTACCAATTCTGAAGTGAGGAATCTGTGGAAGGTTATGCCTGCCACATGGAACTTTTACAAAATCATCCAAAATCTGAACTGTGTCAAACTCCAAGCCTTTGGCTTTGTGAACGGTGCCCAAAACATATTCTAGATCAAGAAAAAGGCAGAACATAGTAAAATGGGGCTTGAAGTAAAGGGAAAAAAATACAGAACTAAAATGTCTCTTTCCTGACAATCTGTAGGCTATAAAGAACAAGGGTAAAATGGAAGGACCAAAGAAGCTAGGAGGCAAGATACAGAATGGTCACATTCTAGGAAGCTGAGAATCATACACTGACTGCTCCCTTCTATGCCTTTTTTTTTTGGGGGGGGGGAGGCAATTTGGGTTAAGTGAATTGCCCAGGGTCACACAGCTAGTAGGTGTCAAGTGTTTGGTCTAAGGCTGGATTTGAACTCAGGTCCTCCTGACTTCAGGGCCGGTGCTCCATCCACTGTGCCACCTAGCTGCCCCTGTCCCGTCCCCCCCTTTTTTTTTAGGCAATTGCTCCCCTCTATGTTAAGTATTGCCATGACATCCACGGAGTTGCTAAGCCAGAACTGAGAAAGTTTCCATTATGGCAACAAGTCTTATAAAATGCCGTGACAGAAAAGGGATCCTGTTTTCCCTCACCTGCAAATGCTACGTCATTTACATGGCACTTCTCAATCCTTTTCACCAGTTCTGGAATCCGGACATTGTACTTTTCAACCACTGCAATCTTTGCCATCAGTTCCTTGTCTTCAGCAGCAACAGCATACCTTTTTAAACCTCCATAGCCATCTTTGTGTACCCATCTCCGAATGAATCTGTCCTTGATGGAAAGGTTTTCTAAAGAAAACACACATACATTGAAGTGAGCGATACTATTATAAAACTTAAGTGGCTACATATTCCTTCCATAAAGTTCTATTCTAATGTCACAATGTGGCATGGAAATGACCCTGAGTTTTCAAAGGCTTTGGCAGTAGCTGGAAAAGCTTCAAAGCAGGGAATACTTTGGAAGAACTAGCCTTGTCAACTACATTTTTTCTTCAATATGAGGCTATCTACAAGGAATGGAATCTTTTGTGACGTAAAGAAAATCATGAAATAGCCCCAAGTTCTAGGCAGAAGTGGGACAGAAGGGCCTAAGAATCATTGTGATTCAGACACTCTATTAACAGTAATTAAAAAGTTGGTACTTAGTCCTGCTTTAAATAAATAAAACAAGGAGATAGAAAAGAAGTTCCACTAAATGGGAGGATACCTCACAGGTCCTCCTGAGAAAGTCAAATAAAGGGGATGGGAAAGGTAGAAGGAGTATGCGTTTATTTAGTTTGTGTACCTATGTACCAGGCACTGTAATAAATACTTTCAAAAATATTATTTGAGTGTCACAATAACCCTGGTAGGAATTATTATCCTCATTATAACACAGGTTAAGTTAACTTGCCTAGGGTCACACAACTAGGATATGTCTGCAGCTGGATTTGAACTCAGCTCTTCCTGACCCCGGGCCCAGCATTCTAACTACTGGAACCATCCAAAATTAGAGAAGTTTATCATACACTCAAACAATTTTGTGTGGAACAATAAGTCCTCTTTAGCACTACAAAGATAATTAAAACTTGTACACTTCTGTTGCAGATGACAAGGAGATAAAGAACGAAAGAATATGAGAAGACCTTCCAAGTTAAACTTTAATACTTGATAATAATAAAAAGGTCCACATGGGGAAGATGGCAAGAAAAATTAGAAAATATGGCTGAGTCAGAAACAAGAGACCAACAGATAGTAAATTACATAGTACACCTTTATATTGTGAAAACTTTCTTTAAGTAATGGACAGACATCCACCAGCATAAAGACATTCCTGTGCAAGACTGGGGCCAGCAGGAGTCAAACATTCAAGCGCAAGGCCCTGGTGGGTAGGAAAAGAAGCCTGGATAAGTGTCCCCTTCACTCCAGCAGGAGAACTCAACATTTTTTTTTTAAGTCAGGAAATAGGAAAACACCATGAACAAAAAGCAGAAACAGAAAATGACCATAGATTCTTTTTTTGGGGAAAGGGAAGATCAAGGCAAATTCAGAAGAGGATAATAGTCATATACTCACATCTGAATCTCAAAGGAGAATATGAACTGATCAAGCCAAAAAGCCTTCTTGGAAGAGCTTCAAGAAGATTTTAAAAGTCAAACAAGAGAGGTAGAAGAAAATTGGGAGAAGAAATGAGAGGTATGCAAGAGAGAACCAATAGCTTGGAAAAGGAAGGACAAAAAATTAACTGTAGAAAACAAGTCCTTGGCCAAATGTAAAAGGAGGGACAAAAACCCACTGAAGAGAAGAGCTCCTTAAAAAGTAAAATGAGCCAAATGGAAAAAGAGGTACAAAATATAATAGAAGAAAATAACTTCTTAAAAATTGGAATAGGGCAAGTGGAAGCTATTGACTCTGTGAGCAAGAATAAGTCAAACAGAAACAAAAGAATGAAAAAAATAGAAGAAAATGTAAAATACCTCATTGGTAAAACTGACTGGAAATCAGGAGTGACATTTAAAATTACTGGTCTACTGAAACCGTGATGAAAAAGAGCTTAGACATCCTTCAGGAAATATCAAAGAAAACTGCCCTGAGGTCTAGAACAGAGGGTAAATTAGTCATTGAAAGAATCCACCAATCACCTCCTGAAAGAGATCCCAAACTGAAAATGCCAAGGAATATTGTAGCCAAATTCCAAAATTACCAGATCAAAGAAAAAATACTGGCAAACAGCCAGAAAGAAACAATTTAAATATCATGGAACCACAGTCAGGATTATGCAGGACCTATGCAGCTTCTACATTCAAATATCAGAAGGTGCAGAATACAATATTCTGTAGGGCAAAGGAGCTTGGATTACAACCAAGGATCAACTACCTAGCAAAAATGAACATAATCTTTCAGGGGAGGAGATGGACATTCAATGAAATAGGGGACTTCCAAACCTTTGTGATGAAAAGACCAGAGCTCAACAGAAAATCTGACCTACAAATACAAAATTCAAAGGAGGCATAAAAAGGTAAACAGGAAAGAAAAAACAACAACAATAACATATTATTAATAAGAGCAACCTGTTTACACCCCTACAAAGGAAAATGACACTTGTATCTCTTCAGAACTGTAATGTAATTCTGACATTTAAAAAGGGAGCATACTTAGAGGGCATAGGTTTCAGTTGACTTGGATATGATGGTAAAAAATCTAATTAAATGGTGAAAAGGTATTGTACTTGGAAAAGAAGAAAGGAGGGGGCGGACAAGGGTAAATCACATCATATGAAAAGGCACAAAAGCCAAATAAAGTAGAGGGAAAGAAGGGAGGGAGATGAGCATTGTTTGAACCTTACTGTCATCACATTTGGTTCAAGAAGGGAATAACATAATCAGTTAGGTATAGAAATTTAACTTACCCTATAGGAAGTAGAAAGGGTAAAGGAAAAAGGGGAGGGAGCTAACAGAAGGAAGGGCAGACTGAGAGAGGTAGTGGTCGAAAGCAAAACTCTACTGAACTCTACCGAAGAGGGAAAGGGAGAAAGGAGAGAAAAAAGCATAAACGAGGCTGGAGGGAATAGGATGGAGAGGAAGACACAGATAGTAATCATAACTGTGAATGTGAATGGGATGAACTGTCGCATAAAAAGGAAACAGACAGCAGAGTAGATTAAGAACCACAATCCTACAATATGTTGTTTACAAGAAACACATCTGAAACAGAGGGATACACACACAGTAAAGGTGAAAGGCTGGAGCAGAATATATTATGCTTCAGGTGAAGTAAAAAAAGCAGGGGTAGTGATCCTGATCTCAGACAAAGCAAAAGCAAAAATAGGTCTAATTAAAAGAGACAAGGAAGGAAGCTACATCCTACTAAAAGGCACCACAGATAATGAAGTAATATCATTACTAAACATACATACATACATACATATATATATATATATATATATATATGACACTTGTATCTCTTCAGAACTGTAATGTAATTCTGACATTTAAAAAGGGAGCATACTTGGAGGGCATAGGTTTCAGTTGACTTGGATGTGATATATATATACACACATACACACACATACACACCAGGTGGTATAGCAGCCAAATTCTTAAAGAAGTTGTTAAGGGAGATACAGGAAGATTTCAGCAAAACTATACTAGTAGGGGACCTCAACCTCCCCCTCTCAGAACTAGATAAATGTAACCACAAAATAAACAAGAAAAAAGTTAAGGAGATCAATAGAATCTTAGAAAAGTTAAATATGGTTGACTTCCGCAGAAAACTGAATGGAGACAGAAAGGAATATGCCTTTTTCTCAGTGGTACATGGCACCTATACAAAAATTTAGCATGTACTAGGGAATAAAAACCTCACAATCAAATGCAGAAGGGCAAAAATATTAAATATATCCTTTTCAGATCACATGTAATAAAAATTACATGTAATAGAGGGCTATGGAAAGATAGACTAAACTTTAATTGGAAACTAAATAATCTAATCCCAGTGGGTAAAACAAGAAATCATGGAAGCAATCAATAACTTCGTCTAAGAGAATGACAATAATAAGGCAACATATTAAAACTTAGGGGTTGGACATACAACTAAAATAGCTAGAAAAAGAAAAAACTGAAAATCCTCAATTAAACAAACTAGAAATTCTGAAAACCAAAGAAGAGATTATAAAATTGAAATTAAGTAAACTATTTAACTAATAAATAAAACTAAAAAGCTGGTTTTATGAAAAAAACAATAAAATAGATAAACCTTTGGTAAATTTGATTAAAAAAAGAAAGAAAACCAAATTACCAGCATCAAAAATGAAAAGGGTGAATTCACCACCAATGAAGAGGAAATCAAAACAATAATTAGGAGCTATTTTGCCCAACTGTATGCCAATAAATCTGGCAACCTAAGTGAGATGGATGAAATTTACAAAAATATAAATTTCCCAGATTAATGGAAGAGGAAATAAAATACTTAAACAACTCCATTTCACAAAAAGAAATTAAACAAGCCATCAATGAACTCCCTAAGAAAAAATCTCCAGAGCCAGATGGATTTACAAGTGAATTCTATCAAACATTTAAAGAACAACTAATTCCAATACTACATAAACTATTTAGGAAAATAGGTGAAGGAGTTCTACCAAATTCTTTTTATGATGGTGCTGATACCTAGACCAGAAAGAGCCAAAACAGAAAGAAAACTATAGACCAATTTCCCTAATGAATATAGATACAAAAATTTTAAATAAAATATTAGCAAAGAGATTACAATTTATCTCGAGGATAACACACTGTGATGAGGTAGGATTTATACCAGGAATGCAGGGCTGGTTCATTATTAGGAAAACTATCAGCATAATTGACCATGTCAGTAACAAAACTAACAGAAATCAAATGATTATCTCAACAGATGCAGAAAAAGCATTTGACTAAAGGCAATGCCCATTCCTGTTAAAAACACTAGAGAGCACAGGAATAAATGGAATCTTTCTTAAAATGATAGATAGTATCTATCAAAAATTTTCATGAAGCATGACATGTAATGGGGATAAGCTAGAAGCATTTCCAGTAAGATCGGGGTGAAAACAAGGATGTCCATTATCACCACTGTTATTCAATACTGTGCTAGAAATGTTTAGCTATAGTAATTAGGGAAGAAAAAGAAATTGAAGGAATTAGAATAGGGATAGAAGAAACAAGTCTATCACTCTTTGCAGATAATATGATGGTATATTTAGAGAATCCTAGAGAATCAAGTAAAAAATTACTTGAAATAATAAGTTTAGCAAAGTTGCACGATATAAAATAAACCCA